ATCGGGTATATGTTGCATATTTTGTCTCAGTTTGCTCCAAGAATCAGTAAAAGCAGGGGAAAAAAGCACACTGTTTGGAAGGTTATGCACAATTACAAACAAACAAATACACACACACACACCCCTGAGCCACAGCAGCGATCCAGTCATGTGCTTCTGAAGCTCTCAGCTCCAACCCATGATCTCAGCACATGACTGGGCCTGTTTGGATTAGGACACCCTGACTGCACACAGACCCCTCAGTGCCAAAACCAGACAGACAAAATCACTGCCAAGTTTTACTATAATTGGATAACAGTCCTCAGGAAGTTCTCACGAGCATTTGCTTATTTTTTTATGGTGCTATTTTTCTTAAATGGTAATTGTGTATAAAAATCAAATAAAATCATTTATGTAGACTGGGCATCTGGGTAAGTAAATATCTTCACTTTGTTTGATTGTTCATTAATCAGTGCAAACCACGACATATATAAAAGCCTGCCACATTTACCAAAGATCAGTGCGTACTTGTATAGATGTTATTCACACAAGACTGAAAGCACACGTGTCTCTAGTAGCCTGACTAATATGTTGTTTTCACTCTTTTTGTAAAGAGATTTAGAATGTTTTTTAAGATGACTTTTTTCCATTTCAGGTCGTGGAAGTTAATGCGTGACAGTGAAAACCCTCGAAAGATATCAGGATTTTGAGCAGAAAACAACCCAGATTTGACTAAGGACACACCAAAGCAGGTGTTTTCTGATGTCTTGTTAACACAACCAAATCCCCAGGAGGCATTGCCACTGCCGTGCAGACAGCAGGATGTTCGGTTACATCAGTAATACAACACCAAAGGACCCTACCGACCATGTTACAGATGGTGAAGAAAAACGAACTGTTGCCATAGTGCCAACTAATCTCATAAGGACCTGGACTTCAGTCCAGATAATACACTTGAAAGCTTTCAAAAGTGCTCCCATGAAAGCAGTTTGAAACAAATGCTGTCAGTCATCTTCACATTGCAGAGCCATCTGTAATGTACTGGTTCCTGTAGCGGTAATTGCAGAGAAGCATGTGAATCTTAAAAAAATCAAGAAAATAATGGGTTTTCTACGGTGGCCGAGAAGTGCAAAGCAAATCACAATTCTGAAAACAAAATAACAAATCAGAAAGCACAACAACAATTCAGAAAACATTATAACAAATCAGAAAACACAATGACAAATTCGAAAACAAAATAACGTTTTCAGAATTGTGATTTGCTTTGCACTTCTCGGACACCGTAGTTTTCTAATGTTTGAAAGCTATTATTTCTTCTGCTAAATTCAGCTCTAAAAACAAGTCTTTCGGTCTCATTTTGCAGAACTTCAGATTAATTCAATGCACTTAGAAACATTAATAAAAAAATGATATGAAGCCAGGCCAAGCAAATCACTCATTATTACTCCTTACCTGTGAGTAAGGCATGATAATGAAGCCCTCTCTCCTTATCCCGATGAGAACACACATCAAACAAATAGGCTTTAATGGGCCCGTCAATGAAGTCCGCCGCAAAGTCAAACATCACCACTCCAAACATAACCACTACGATCGCCCATGTCCTTTTAACATTTCTGTCCTCTAGTATAGCTGGAGGAGAGAAACAGCATCATGCTTAGTTTAGTCAAAAGCACATTATACATGAAATGCTAATCAATACTACTGGATATAACTTTTTAGAAATGTCAAAACTTAAGGTCAGGCCATTGCTCAGAAGGCAAAAGTGCAGTTTATGTTTTTCTTCCAATTATGTTTACATTCATTTGTAGTCTTTTGTAATGCATAAATGAATGCACATATAAATAAAGGCATAAATTAATAACTAACTAATAACAAAATTCAGTTTTTAAAAAGGCCAAAGGACACCTACTTGTAGTAATGAAAACAGAAGTTTTCTGCAGTATTTCAAATGTATGTGCTTGGTAAATTAACAAGCACCCTTTATTGAAAATGATTACAATTCTAGATCTGAAGTATTTAACAAGAAATATGGTAGGAATAGGTAAAAACTCCCCTAACGCTGTAAAAAAATAAATAAAATAAAAATCCATGCAATGTCCAGCTGTGTTATATTCCTGTCTAATTACACACAACTATTTTTGAGTCACCTTTTCATTGGTCATTTAATGTGAAAAACACAGTGGAAGAGAAAACCAATTGTAATCAAATTTTTTTTATTATTTGCAGTTCCTATATCTGCTTACCCTTCCTTCCTTGGTCATTATTTCCTTTTTAAATTTCAACCTAACCACATTTTTAGTGGTGAAGGGAGAGCAGATATAATTTGCTATCTGTTTTTAAAATTGCATTGAACACAAGTAGCTCCTGATTTCATAATCTGGACAGATCCATCACATTTACTTCATCAGCACCTACCTGATGTGACCGCATCTCCATTTAGAAAAAAAGTCAGGCCCACTAACATTATAATCCCGAGTAAGAGTATGTACGGTCGCCTTCGGCCCCATGGGGACCTACAGTAGTCGCTTGCAGAGCCAATGACCGGCTGTAGGATAAAACCCAAAACCGGGCTGATGAGCCACACCAGGTTGTACAGGCGTCTGGGGAGTCCAACGCTCAACAACACCGGCGTGACAAACGCAGCCTCAACGGCATAGCAGAATTCCCTTCCAAACATGACCATGCCGTGCATGATAAGCCTTCCTCTTGAGCGCTTCGGGGGCTCCACCGCTCCAAACACAGCTGGTTCCATGCAGTCCAAATAGTCCTCTTTCGGTCCCGAGTCCACCGGGTAGTGCTCCATGGATGTGAGCGGGCTGTCCGGTGCAGAGAACCTGCAAGGTTGGTCCTCGGTTAGGAGAGTCATGGTTATCAGTGTTGAAAGTCTTAATTCCTACTGCATAGCGGAGCGATAAAGCTCAAAACTAGTATTTACAATGTCAGCTGAGCTGAGAAGGTGGTCGTCTGGTTGTAATCAAGGAAGTAAGCCTTGCTTTTTTTTTGTAGCCAATTGAGTAAGCATTGTTGCCAAAGGCCACTGGTGGAGTTGTCGTAAGCACGTGACACAGATTACAAGCTGTGGATGTTCTTCTCTTCCTCCTACTGGGTTACAACAGAAAATCAGTGCAAGACAGAACCAACAATTCATACTTAATGTAATAGCAAACAGCTATCAGACAATAAGAACAATAGAGTGTTTAGGGAACTTTAAATGGTAGAAAAAAAATGTAAATGTAGACCTAACAAGCATTCTTTTGTGGTCTTGCATAATGGGATGGCCCATTAGGTAAATCAAGTGATGTACCATGTGATTCCTCGGCAGACAGTTTCAAGGGGGTTGGAAGACAAGAAGGCAATGCATTTATAGTCAAAGCACACATCCCCACCCAGTGTTCCTTCTCCATTCACACGACTAACCTCTACTGCTTTGGTTTACTCAAATCTGTCATGAGACATTCACCGAGTCTGTTCAAAAGTCATGCGAGCGTCTCACGGAACATCATCCACTCTCTCTCGGACTGGACTTAATCTATAGAGGTCGAGCTGTGAATCACAGGGAACCAGTCAGATGGTGCCACATGGATTAAAATGCCACATTCCACACATATCTCTATGTGAATGAGAATCGATTTCAGGCTCGAGTAGTTATTTTATTAATTGTATTTGACTTGAGAAAGGATGATTACGAATGTTATCAAGAGAAGTATTGTTTGAAGCCAAACAGTCTTTAAAGTGTAAACTCTCAAGTTTTAATAACGGTTTTACAAATTCATTATGACTTTACCACAATCTTCAAGCATAAGAAAATGTGTCTTGCTCTATACAATCTCTTTTCTAAAAAAACAAAACAAAACAAAAAACACTACAGTTCAGAAGTTTGGGGTCAGTAAGATTTTATTTTTTGAGGAAATGAATGCTTTTATTAAACAATGATGCATTAAATTGATCAAAAGTGACAGTGAAGACATTTATAATGTTACAAAAGATTTCTATGTCAAATTAATGCCATTCTTTTGAACTTCCTATTCATGAAAGATCCCTGAAAAAAAAAGATGTATCTCAGTTTCCACAAAAATATCGAGCAGCACAACTGTCTGCAACATTGATAATAATAACAAATGTTTATTGAACACCAAATCAGCAAATTAGAATGATTTCTGAAGGATCATGTGACATTGAAGACTGGAGTGATGGCTGTAGAAAATTAAACTTTGCCATCACAGGAATAATTAAAACAGATTACAGTTAATTTAAATTACAATAATATTTCACAATATTACTGTTTTTATTATATTAAAAGTAGCCCTGGTAAGCATAAGGGACAATTTATACCACACCAACATATGTAGACCAATACAATGGTCCCCAGATTACAGTACGTCATTTCATAGACATTTGAAGACCCAAAAAACACCAATTCAATAGGCAAAAAATAAGCACTGACCTAGGCCTGGACGATAAAACGGTATCGATATTTATCGATGGTACACCTTCTTCGATATCCATAGAAAAATTGTTCGATATAGCGCACAATATAGGCACATACTATGAGTGACGCAGACAGCACACACAATTTAACATGCTGAAATGAGTGCTGTGCCTGCCTGTGATGAGGAGATTGTGAATAAAGAATGAATATTAGTCGAATTTAAAATAAACATTTGCATTTGAATGTTAGGAGTGCGTCAGGGAGCGTCATCAGTGGCGTGCGAGATGCGGTGATGATGATGTAAGTGACGTTGTTGCATTTGAATGTTTTGTTAGTCTAGCCCACGAGACGCGCCGCTGCAGTGTTATTCATTCAAAATATTAGAGAAATATAGAAGCTCAATGAGGAGAAGATCTTGATTAGGTTAAAACCGAAACCAAGCCATTCACACAGAACGCATATTCAGCGCATTTTCTGCTGCACTCGCGTCTCACACAAGAGATGTATAGAAAGCCATGCAAAGTTAAAACAGTTTAAACTTTTAGAAAACACGTCACAAATTTGTGGAGGTTTATTCCTTTTCGCTTATCGTTGATACATTTTTTAGCTATATCGCCCAGCCCTATGCTGACCAATGCTAACAGACACGGACGGGCTAACACACTGATCCAACAAACGTGTCTGTTGTCATTGTCAGTACAGTGTGAATTGTCCTTAAGTAACAAAAACAAAACTTACTGACCCCATTACAAATAGTAAATACAGGCCATAAAACAGCTATCTGTATTATTAAAAGGCCACTTCCATGTTGACCAAGTGTTACATTTTATACAAGTAGCGATATTATGACAACAGAAAACTTCATCTTAAGCGGAATCATTAATTGGTTTTATCCTAATACCATTATCTTGGCTCATCAGCGCTGCCTAACAATTAGGCAAAGGCAAATATTTCACTCAGTTAATTAGTCTATGGCTCACACTCAGCTATTCTTGCTAAAGGCACTTATTAGTCAAGGATTTCAATTCAGAACCAAAAGTGGTACACTTTAATCAACTACAAATAAAATGCCCTCACAATCCTATTATTAATTCAGAACAGTCTTAAACAAATAAGTCAATATTGAATATCTTTGTTGAATGAGGTTGCTGACAAAAATAGGGATGTTAAGATTAATACAGAATATTTGCAACAGCCTTTAATTAAATCCCACTTGACTTTCACTGCAGCAATTACAAATGAGAGTTGAATGCTTTGGAAATTTTAACTGAAAAGGCCAGGATCATTTAGTCCACTTCGACAGCAGCACCCACCGATTCACAAGGGAGAGTAATTTTGTTCCGAAATGCCCCCTCACACTCGAGCCAGAGGAGTTGAAGTGCTCAGATTCCCGCGCTGCATCACTGGCCACAAAGTGTAATGATTCTCCAGTCAGAGTCTTTGATTTATAGACGCGCTTTAGCTTCGGTACACTCTATGATACCGGCAGACAAGAGCTGTTCTATTTGCGCTTGCTCAAACCCGTACTCCTTCAGCACAGAGCGAGTGTGCTCTCCGATGAAGGGGTCCCGGGAGTGGCAGGGCTCTGCGGGGGAGCGGGATAGAATGGGTGCAGGTCGGGGGCTAATTTCCCCCTGAGAGTCCTTGAAGAATGACCCCCGTGCCTGGTTGTGGGGGTGAGAGAGGACCTCATCCAGTGACAGCACAGGGGTGACACAGGCATCTGTCCCATCGAAAATCTGACTCCACTCCGCTTGCGTCTTAGTGGCAAAGACCCGGGTGAATGTCTGCCTGAGCTGCGGCCAATCAGATACACTCATTTGTGCGGGCAGGTCAGCATCATCTAAGACCAGACCTGTAGTGAGAGAGAATTAGATAAGGAAGATATTTATAAAGAATATCTCTTTGGATTTGAGACTTTAGTCTTTGCAACTTTACAGATCTTCTTTATGCACCAAGAGCTTGTAACACTCTAAAGAGAAAGGAAAAAATGAAATCGCATCATATGACCCCTTTAAGCTGCCTTTTTTCCAACTGCTTCAACAAACACCAACAGGGTAAACACACAGATTTAATACAGCAAGGGTGAACTAGACTTGAGTGGTGTGAACAAACCTTTATGTGTGCTAGATGATTCAACACAAAAACCAAAAGAAATTAGAGCAAATTAAAGAACAATTCTATATTAAATAGGCTGTTATATGTACACTGGGGGAAAAAAGCTTTCATGGGCAGCCTAGAATATCATGCACTTTCACAACAAAATAAACGTTTTTTCTTTATTGAATAATAATAATAATAATAACAAATCCCTCTTTTTTCTCTTTCTCTGTATCATTGCTTGAAGAATGACCCCCGTGCCTGGTTGTGGGGGTGAGAGAGTACCTCATCCAGTGACAGCACAGGGGTGACACAGGCATCTGTCCCATCGAAAATCTGACTCCACTCCGCTTGCGTCTTAGTGGCAAAGACCCGGGTGAATGTCTGCCTGAGCTGCGGCCAATCAGATACACTCATTTGTGCGGGCAGGTCAGCATCATCTAAGACCAGACCTGTAGTGAGAGAGAATTAGATAAGGAAGATAAAAAAAAGAGGAAAGAAATCAATAAAGGAGTTTAGAGGACAAAGATCAAAGAGATCATGAAAGATTTTGAATACAGAAGCCATTAGTACATTGCACTGGCCACAGCAGGTGACTTATTAGGAGACTTTCTACTTTTGAGGGTCAAACATGAATAGCAATGGAGTCATTATGGTTTCAAAGCAAGATTAAGTACGTGGCATTAGCACTTGGGTCATCGGGACACAGGGTGAACACCTATGCACATACTAATAAAGCATCTCCATGTAGTCGACAGCCATGTAGCCAGACAAATGTGACCCTGAGAATTTTGTGGTTAATTGTACGGAGATGTCATTCAGGTAATAGGTTTATTTCAGGTGAATTAAAAGCAGCTTGATGTTTAGATAATAAAATAATAAAATAAAATAATACACAGAGATAAGAGATAAAAAATAATAACACCATAGAATGCCAAAATAAGAGAATAAATATAATTAAAAAGATCAAGAAAATAAAACAAAAATGAGAATAGAAAAAATAAAATAAAAATAAGATCTTAAATGTAAAAAAACAGAATATACAATTAAAAAGAATGAGAATATACTGTATATAATAAAAAAGAATAAGAAAATTAAACAAAAACAAAAGATCAGAAAAAATAAGATAAAAAATAAAATAATACATGCCAGTTGTTTTTAAAAAACATTTATTTAATGATGAAAAAAAGGGTGGTAGAATTGCAGCTGTCTGTGTGGCTGCCTGCAGGCTTAAATGAGTAAATAATTTAAAATTTAAAAAATAAAAATAAATAAAAATAACACTAAAATGACATCTGACAACTATCCTGAAAAAGACAGCAAGCATTCATATCACAATTCACACCATGAGAACATCCACCATATTCAGAAGATGACAGTACAGGACCATATTAAGAAGAAATGTAATGCACTGACCTTGAATAAGCTGTTGATAGAACTGAGGCTCAATCGCCCCCACTGCCATATACTTTCCGTCAGACGTACGGTATGTATCATAGAATGGAGCGCCACTATCCAGCATGTTTTCCCCACGAGGACGATTCCACAGGCCGAGGCTACGGGACTTCCACATGAAGGAGCCGACATATGCTGCACCTTCCACCTGCACATAAAACAAGAGGGGTGTTCATAAAAACATAAAATTGAATCCAAAAAATACAATATATTCCATTTAAAATTTTAAAAAATTGTAATCCATTATTTGCCATTATTCTGTCATGCTGAGCTTTGGATAAAGCAACAAGGTCACTAAGGAAACATTATGGGCTAAATCATTAAGGGCTAAATCCTCATTAAAACTGTAGTTGTCATACATATTCATCAGATTCAATTTACAATAACTTCATATGCAGCAAATGGTGCAGATAATCATATATTTACATACATGAACGCACTGAACAAGATAGAAATGTGGTACGATGGGGGAAGATTTAAGCAACTTTTTAATTCAAGCACAACACAGTAAATCACAACCTGCATTTCTGTAGAGGTTTGTCAGTAGTTTAATTTCTACATCCATGGCACAGCAGGACTAGAAAGCAACCATATCATGAGTAATCAAAATGTCTTTGATCTTTTATGCATAATAAAGCTTGATCATGTCCTATGAAAACATAATGTAACCTTCAGATATTTCATCCTCAGTCCACAAAAATCATTTATTGAAACTAAACATCACAAATGTAGTTAAATTTTGCAGCGATATACAGAATTCATTAAATACACGACTGTCCACGCTTATGAAAAATGGATTACATTTATTTTTAACAAGGTCCCTGATCTTTTTAGTCTGATTTAAAGAGTTTGTGTGGCATATTTCAGCATTGATTTAGGGAACCAGTCACAATGTAATACTGTAGTCTTCACAAAGGCTGTTATTAAAAGAAGGGGAAGGTAAAAAAAAATTTGACAACAATAAACTCTCAAAGGCAACGATAGAGAAAGCAATACATATTGTTAATAATTTCACATGCAATGGGGACATTTCTCAAAGGGGCAGCAATAAAAAAAAATCAGGCTGTTTATTTCAGAGAAAGGGTGAAAATGGCAATGAATGGCAATGAAAACTAGAATATGACTGTCTTACACAAACTCACTAGCATAAGTAGACTTATGTCAGATATGTATGATATGACCCCTTTAAAGAATTATAGCACTTAGATCTTGAACTGAATCTTTTCTGAATGACAAATTTGGCATCAAGGCTGAGGTTAAAGGGTCTGTAGCAAGTGTTCCAGAAGTGTTTGTAGGTCAAATCTCTCACAAGACTCATGCATAAATGTATATGCATTTCAAAGACTGTGACCTTGCCAAATTAACTTTAATATGGATATACTTCATATATTTCCCAGTGAACCCAGCCTTCAAAGAGAAATTGACAATCTGGGATTCTATTTGTGCCCATGATTGGCCTCACCACCAAGAAGTCACGCTCCCAGAAGATGCCTGTCGCTTGGCCTAATACTGAATGTTTTATCACGTTATGCCTCAAAAAGCAATTTTCACACTTCCACCATTCCTATTGGTCAGAGAAAGGCATGCAACAAAGTGGAATATTTAACTATAGTTTTGTAAAAAATAATGAGTTAATATAAGATGTTTTTCCTTCTTCGACTTGTTTGGATGTCAATGTGAAGACGACAGTGGTCAAAGACTATTTGGGATTTAAACCGAAACATAGCCCCATAACAAATGTTGCATAACACAATTAGGAAATGCTAATGAAACACCCAGGTGTTAAATTTAAGGTCTTAATTTTCTAATAAGTATTTAAATGAAAAACTTTGAAAGCATAAAGTTTGCAGGTTATAATACATCCACATTTTCATGCATGTGAAAAACGATTTGCCTGCGTTGCGGGTTAATAACACTGACATCGCTAAAAGCAGCTGTCAGTATCAAACCACAGGTTTTATCAAAGAGTGGCAAGGTGACTCTCACAGGAACGTGCTTCAGATATCTTTACTGCCTAACAGACAAACATCTAATCATCATTACCACAGCTCCTGCCCACATCGACATTAGCTTGGCACACACGCGGCTATCAGGAGAAACTCTCCACTAGCACTGCAGCTCTGCTCCAGGTCTGAATTGCTAATGTGAGAGGTACTTCAATATTGGATTATCACATATTAAGTTTTATGTTTACCAGAGTTTATTTCCTTAAGGGCTTAAAGTGGCAGAGATCATACTGTGTTAGAGCAAATTACATGACCTCAGTTGAATTAGAGCTCTATTGTCTGGTTGAGGTTTTCTAACGCATAAAAATGCACTCAGGGCTAAATGAAATGTCATATTTAATTAACAAGCAGAATAGCAATTGCTAAACGTTGTTATTTTTCAGTAGAGAAAACCTAGTGTAGTGTGATCAAGACAGGGTACTTTAATGAACTGACCAATGTGCCAACAAATATTAAAGGGGTCATATGATGCTGCTAAAAAGAACATTATTTTGTGTATTTGGTGTAATGAAATGTGTTTATGCGGTTTAAAGTAAAAAAAAACACATTATTTTCCACATACTGTACATTATTGTTTCTCCTCTATGCCCCGCCTTTTTGAAACGCGTCGATTTTTACAAAACCAAAATAAACGTTTTTTCTTTATTGAATAATAATAATAATAATAATAAAACCCTCTTTGTTCTCTTTCTCTGTATCATTGTGTCTACACTGGTCATTTTTTCAACTAACTTTTTTATTTATACCAAACAAGGCCATAATCATATCTAGAACATTAGGGGGACTATTGTTTTTAGGAAAATATTAAGACCAGACCACTATGGCAATGGTAAAGGAACTAAATAAATAATAAGATTTTTTGTAAAGTAATCAATCTGAACTGCAAATAATATTTTTATTTTAAAATATGCACCCATTTAGTTTAGTTGAATTCCTAATATGTTGAAAACGCAAGACAGAAAATGCTATTGTCGTCACAATAATTATGAATTACATGAAACACGTAAATGATTGACAGCCCAACTTTCAATTCAAAATGGCGGAATTTGACAAAAGAAAAAAAGGCTAATACTTGATAATACAGTCGAGCCGACTGTTGCTATAGTAAGTAA